CACACACACACACACACACACACACACACACACACACACACACACACACACACTGTCATTGATTTATCGTGTCAGGTTATTAGATGGCCGACCTGAAGAGTTTTACGGCCACACCCCCACATTTTAAAGCCGTCACTGCTTCATTGTGCCTCTGTTTATAAACCACAGGTCAAAGGTCACAGTAAAGTTGCTGTGGCAACCAGAAAAGCTTTCCCATTGTCCTATTGATCCGTGTCCGTTAGAAAACTGCATGCGTCTGCGTGTGAAATCAAGTGCACATGTGCGCACCGCGATTAGTCTTCGACACACAATGGAATAAATAAAGGAGGGTGACGTTTTTTGTGTTTTTTYCCCCCCAAATTCCACAAAGTAACGTCTCAAGGATGGTTAACTGTGTCGGCAAACCGAATCCAAACAGGAAACAGACACACAAGCACAGATAAAACGCCCAGAAGAGGCGTCTTTAAGCAGCGGGAGGGTTTGGCTCTGGTTTTGATGCGTTCGCCACAGGAAGTGACCGCTCTCTGTTGCAGGAAATGATGCAATTTAGCAGGATGTCAGTTGTGTCAGAATTATCTGCACACCTGCGTGGATGTTCCCACTGACCGTACCGTAACTACAACGGGAACAGAATAAAAATGAAAGAAACGAGCTCCAGAATCTTCTCCAGGACGTTGTGGAMAGTTTCTTCTAAAACTAAAAGGATTTTTAGGGTGTGGGAAACGGATGATTCTCAGAGCTTGTTGGATGATGGACTTTCTCACAGCAGAAACAAACCTGTTGATAGTTTATATGAGGGTTTGATACGATAATGAGCAGAATAATACAACACAACTCAGCACATTTTCTGAATGATTAGAGATGTTTGCATTTGCRTCATTGTGCACTAAACTCTTGTTTTTTGTAGTAGTTTAATTAAACCCAATCAGACCAAGCTTATTTCAAGTTTTTTATGTTTCATGTCAAAGTGAGTGTGTTTATTTCTTTCATAGGAGACAAAAGTTCATAAAAAAAAGTACATATTGCAATCCAGACACAACCAGTTTGTTTCTGTTTACAGATTTTCGCTTCTCGAAGCTTAATGTTAAATGTGTCTTACTAGATCAGGAGTGTCCAGACCTGGTCCTCGAGGACCACTTTCCTGCATGTTAAAATTGTTTCTCTGCTCCACCTAAAGGGTTCGACACACGGGCAGCGACAAACTACAGCGATTAACGGCTGTCATCGCAGCCAGGGTGAAACCCGACACATGGGATGCGATAGCGATCGCAGCGTTGCGAATCGCGCTCTTTCAGGTCGCTTGTCTTCACGAAATTTGATTGGTTCTTGACTCTGAAGGCGGGTGTG